AAATTAACATCTAAAGTATTCATGATGTGTAGTGATAACAGTTAGTGGCTATTAAAGTGATTTTAAATATAAAATTATATTACAACCATTCTGTATTCTCATACTAGACTTCCATAAAGGGAGTTGGAAATATAATTACTAGATATTGATTCAGACGTTGTTTTTAATCCTTGATAAGTGTCTTCTGAATTTGAATTTGTAAGTAAATGCACAAATCTAAAAGAACTAAATTTTTCTATCTAGTTTCTTTGAACAATTATATAGTTTTAGGGCCATTCATATAAATGCCTTTGGAGTTTGTATCATTAATGAAATGCTACTCAGCTGTAAAATGAAAATTTTATCCATCCATTCAATGATATGTATGTTAAGGTTATGCCTATTTATTGATATAAAAGGCTTTCTGGTTTAAAAAGAAAAATCCAATGCTCTAAATAAGATTTAGTATTTTTCCAGTAGGTGGCGTATTAGACTAGAGAAAGTGATCAATATGTGAAAGCTAATCTTTTCTTTCTACTATTTTGAGAAATTTTTTATATAAAATACAAATCACCTAATGGGCTCGCTAATTCTTTTAATTGCACCAATACGGCAGGATTTCAACTGCACTTGGCCTTTAGAGGCAGAAATATTTTACTGATTACATTACCATAATAAAGATGGCATAATGACAATAGTAATGAGTACTTATAATAATACCTCACATTTTAAAATTGCTTATCCACCCGTGTGCAAAGCCTCCTGGCATCTCTGAAAGGGAAAATCATGCATGTGAACAGCAAAGAAAGACCTGTCTCTTGGATCCTTTATTTTCAGACTCTGATAACTTTTGGGGAAAGAGCAACCCACCCCTGTGAGCTTGCCATTGTTACAGAATCTCAGAATTGAAAATAGGAGGATCACACCTTTGTGGGACGCTGTCCCTCTTCCTGCTTTCCATCATCTCTGATGGGCTGTGGTGAGAGTGTCCTTGAAGGACACCTGATAGGCCATATCTTAGAGCTGGATCTTGGAAGAAGATCATCTCAAAGCCACAGGGTGTGGAAAAATACTGCTCCTGAGGTCCATAGCAGTGAATCATTCTCAAAGAACCTATTATCTGATCCAACCTCTTGTTTTACAAATGAGAAAACTGAAGTCCAAGGTGGCTTCATGATGTTAATATCACCTCTGTTCCGTGGCACAGACACGGTGTTCTCGGCCCTGCCGCTGCCCTCCTCCCTTGTGTAGGAAATGTAGGAGCTACTGTACATTTCAGCCCTGTGAGAGTGACCCTGGCAAGGAGAAGACAGGAAGTCCTGCCTGTGTACATCCCAGTATCTCCTAAAAGGCTCATGCATTCTGAAGCAGGGCTTTTGGAAGGAGATTGGAATATGAAACTCTGCCTTCAGTAATCCAGTGATGAGATCATAATTTGAGTCATGAGTGCAATTTAGCAGGCAGGGCCTAGTTAGAGGTGTGTTAGAGGGTGTGACCTGGGGACTAGATCTGGTCCCTGGCCCTTTTTCTCTGGCTCCTCCCCTCTGCTTTGCCTCCTGGCTGCCTTGGGGATTAAGAAAGGCTGCAGGAAATCTCAGAGCTTTGTCTGGAGCCCCAGAAGTCTGTCCCCATCATAGTGGCAGGGCTGCTGCAAAACTGTGTCCTTTAATCTCAGAAGAGGGGACTACCCCCTCCATCAGTCCACAATGGTCCACACTGTCCAGGGATTTCTTCTGTTTCATCCCCAAAACATAAACAGCCAGATAAAGTCCCTTTGAACTCTGCCAATGCAAACTGTGGCTTAAAAATGGAAATGAACAGAAACTGCAAAATAATACCTGACCAGACATTAAAGCTTTAAACCCAATATGTAGGACATGAGGCCCAGCCTGCATCAATATGCTTTTAATGGCTTACTGGTAAATGTTGAGCAAATGAGTGTCCCCTTAAGGTTGTCCTGGGGCGTGTGGAAGCACAGTCTTTAATTTTAATGAGACTCTATTACACAATCTCTCATCACCTCTTAACTGCCAGCAAAATGACCACCAGCTAAATGTACAGCAAAATAGCTCACTCAGATCCCAAAGAAATTATCTTCGAATTATTACACTTAACCGTGGCAAATGTACCCAGGTTCATTTGGGAAGGGGAGACACCTGGCATATTGAGTGAAAACGCAGAAACTGTCATTTACTTGGGCTTTTCTTGCCTTATCTGATTTTGTCTTTTGAATGGAAATATTTAAAATGCAGGTGATGCTCTCCCTTCCTAGTTGACATGAGCAGGCTAATTCAGTTCAAGAGACACTGTCACCCCACCGCTGAACAGTCTGTCCCTGAGGCCGGGTGTAGCTGGCTAAGAAGGCCAATCCTGCCCACTGTGACTTTGTATTTTTTCCTAGTACTAAAAGAAATAAAGAAAATAACTATTTAATATGTAGTCAATAAAATAATGCATGAAAATCCCCATAGAAAGCCTGGTACACAGCAGTCGTTCAGAACATGCTCCCTCGTTCCTCATGTTATCAGGGGCCCCCAGGACCATGTTTTCCTTCAAACACAGCTGGGGAAGCTGCTCGCTCAGAGCACATTGGACCTGTGGCTAGACAGGAGACAGAACCCACACAGTCGACAAAACATGGGGTGCAAATATAAGAAGTACCTGTGATAAAGGACACTTATCAGATATAGGGGCACCTCTAGGCAGTTTCCTACCAGCACCCAGGGCTGAGGGAGCACATCCCAGGACAGACAAACTTGAAGGGCACGGGCTGTTGGGAAGCAAAACTTCTTGACTTTCTCAGGGTCTCTAGCTGGCCCTGAGGATTAACGATAAAGACAGGCTAAGGGGAAGGAAACAAGGATTTCACACGTTAAAGGAGTGATCAAAATATACTATGATTGTTTAAAATTTAAAGACATGCTACTGTAAAAGACACATTGCCATTACTGCCCCTCAAAATACTCCCCTCATTCCTTCCACTTTCTGAAGCAGTTCTGGATGTCCTCTTTCAGGATGTCTTTTTGAGGTATTCTCAAAAAGACGGTCAGTGCTGCTGCAAGTGCCATCAACAGAAAGGCAGGGTTGTAAAAGCATGATGTGTCCTTGCCCGCCAGTCTGGCACCAAGAGACTCCTGGCTCTTCTCCAAGGTCAAACTGACCCTGAAAGGTAAATACTTTGACTCGATTCAGGACATCGAGATAGAAACAACAGCGCAACTAGACACTCACAAATGAGGACTTCCAGAACTCCAGAAAATGGCAAGAACTATATGTGCAAAGTGAGGGGAGGATTTTGAGAGGAATTCATGGCAATGCGTCTTTTACTGTGACAATTTTTAAAATTTAAACATTCAACATATCTTCCTTATCAGGAAGATAAAAGTTTTAAAAGCAGTTAGGCCTCAGTGCATAAACACAAAGTAGCAATTCTGAGAAACTGACTAAGACGTATGGGAATAAGGGTTTATAAGCAGCTGAAAGTGATTGTAAAAAGGTTTGCTCCACAGACTTCTCTCAGCCTCGCCTCTCCATTTCACCCTTGCTAATTAATGTAAGAATATACATTTTAAAATCACCGTTAATTATCACCAAATGAGACTTTTTCCTGAAAATCTGTATTATTATCTTCTATAGTGAGTGTTTATTTTTGTAACCATTTTTAATGTTTCTGTTTGTTTGTTCTTGTTGTAGTTTTGGTTTTGGTACCGGAGATTGAACTCAGGACCTTGTTCTTGCGAGGCAGGTGGCGGCACCACTGAGCTAAATTGCAGGCCCATCATTTTTTTTAAGTTTTTCATAAAAATGGGTTAAATGATAAGAAGTACTTGAGGAGATGTCACCCTGAGGAATTGTAGGATAGTCCCTTGTCAGGGACTTTTGACAATTAAGATAAAGCTGCAGTTACCCACATGTGCCATTAGATGGCGCCAAAGCAGCCAGCGAATATTTACCAGCACACACAGCTTTTGCTCCAAAGAAATCTTATCAGATTTTTAAACATTCGAGATTTTCTGGCTGAAATAAGTGTCTTGCTAGTGATGCATTTGGCACTATAGAACATTTTTCAAAGGTAAAAGCAAATATGCATATGTCTGCTTTGTTTCTTTTTTCTCTTTGAACTTTTGCTGCAGTCCTACACATGCACAAAAACTTAACAGTACCAGTTCTTCAGGTCAAAACTCTCAAAAATCCTGCAGATGAGAGACTGAGACACTTCATCTTGCCTATTCAACAATCTCAGAGTTTCTACAGGGCAGTCGCCCAAGTCAGCTGTGCATATGCCTTAATAATGGTTATTCTTCAGAGACTCTAGTTCCCAATGTGGTGGGAGACTTGCTCATTCCCTGTACTTTCTCCTTGACACCTTGTCTGCCACGGAGGACACAGCTGGTCCTCCATCTTTGCCAGCGGGAGGGTTTTCACCTCATTAGTCCCAGTCACTAGCAAGGACTGGAGTGTAGCAATTTCAGGGGCCGTGCAGCCACCTTCAACAAGTGCCTGCTTGTTCTGGCTCCTTGTTCTGCGTAATCCATGTGGTTCCCATGGGAACACAGAATAGGGGAGTGAAGCCTGTTTTGTGACTCACACCCTTGCTTTGGCCACCCTCAGGAGGTATGGAACTAACTTCCAAAGAATGAATGGGGTCAACGGAGATTGTGCAGAAGTGGGCACAGAAAAACCCAGAAAGCTCTGGGGAAACATAACTAGACTGTTGTTAAAAGCTCAAAACACATAGCAAGAGAAAAACAAGAAAACTGTGTTAAACTGCAGTACTTACGTCTGTGCTCACGCAGGTCTTCATTTAATAAGTTCAAATTCTTTTCGAATAACCACTCTCCACCCACAAGATGGAAGAGGTGGACTTCCATTTTCTCAGGCTGGATTTCAAAGTCTGCACTGATAAAATAAGATAACAGGAAGCCAGGGTTCAAAGAGTGATGTCATCTCCCAGGGAAGATTTGGTTCCAGTGCAGGATAGCGACATTCTCCTAACAGTGTCCCTTGTTTTCTCTGTGCAGCTCGATCATTATCCTTCTGTGAGTTACCATCTGCCAAGTTCATCCGACACACTCTTCAATTCTCCCAAGTCGCTCTTTCTTGGAAAAGTTATAGGTAAGAATTTGGTTCATTAGTTATAAATGTGTGCAAGGAACACATCTAGTGTGAGAATTATGTTAGCTGATGTGAATTTGCATTTTAACATTGCCAGGTAAGTTTTTCTCATTAAGGTCAGTCGTGAGCATATTCTCCATGAAGAAAATTAAACTAATTCTGAGTGGAGCCCAAGAGAAGCATCACCAAATCATCTTTGGGGCAATTGCTCATGTGATACTTTCTAAAGCTACCAATTCACCTCTGGACACATTGTGATTGGGACTGGGGGCTTCTGAGTCTGGGACAGAAATGGAATCAGCATTTTTTGGCAGGTGGCTCAACTAGGACACAATGATACCTATGGCTTTTGTACATAAAATGTGCTCTTTGGTTTATTAGAGACCTCTAGGAGGAGTAAATAACTTTTTCTTTATGTAAGCATTTCCACACAATTCTCTTTTCCTCTCACCTACAAGAAAGCTAGTTGATATTATTTGCAAATTTAATAGCAATTAGAATGCCCTTTCCCTGTGTGTGATTGAATTTAGGAGTCGCCCCTGCCTTTCTCTTCCACATAGGAGGTTAGTGCTATCCAGGTGAAAATATGCAGGTAATCAGCTGAGAAATTTTAGATGCTTAATGTGAAGCCCATGCCATTTCTCTTTTACATGAAAATGGGTAATGGGAATCGGAGATGGAAATTAAGTCAATGGTGTTGTATCCTCTGGGAAGAAGTCATTTTTCTTTGTATCCAGTGGGTAGTGGTGACTTTACCCACCCAGGCCCACTTTGCTCATGACCCATTTTGCCAATCCCTGAAGCCATAATTTCTGCAAGAAATTTTGTTCACCAGAGAGCCAAATACCCCACCCCCCAACTCAAAAGCACCTCCCCAAGTTTAGGGGTTAAAAAATCAGGGTGATCAGAGGTATGGGAAAAGATGATTGGAAATTTTTTAATATGACATCATCTGTGGTTTGTACATGGGTGATCCACCTTCATGCCTCTTCGTAAGATGCATGCTCAGAACATGGTGGTCTCAATGTGCTTGTGGGTGGAGTTTGGAGCGCCAGCATCTAAAGGTCACTTATGTAACAAAGGACTTTCTGGTTTCAGACAGTTTGAGCCAAGACAAGGCTATCTCCAAATCTGTAAATATAATTTAAATAAATATATATTATTTATTATATAAATATATATAAAACAGTTATAGAGCTGAACTTCCTTTGATTTGTGAATTGGTTTGGTTTGGTTTGGTTTCATCAGGGATCTGGCAATGATGGAATAAAAAGGATATAGATTTAGTAATCAGACAGAGTTGGTTAGACTTGAACTCAAGCCTGTCTCTGTTGACATCGTGGGCCTGTTACTTTAATGCTGCATTACTTTAACTTCTCAGAGGCTGGATTTCCTCAAATGTGAGATGAAGAACGTGAATGCTCATCTGTAGGTTGTTAGCTCCCTCAGGGTTGAGTTTGTTGTCTGTCTTTTCTGAACTTTATGTTTCAATCTATTTGCAGCAGCAAGATTAGTGCCTGGCATACAGGAAGTGTTCAAAAAATATTTCTGGCGTAAATAAGCTATTGTTTGAATTTAAGCTTGATCACATCTTAGGGCTAATCCAACACAATGCCTGATTCATAAGTAAGGAAAATAATCCTGCTGTTTGATGCTGCTGCTGGTCAATCATGGCGTTATATGCTGTATGTGTATGGCTCTCTACACTCCTCCAAACACCACCCCAAACTATTGCTAACCTTCTTATGGTTTAGAACTACAATGTCTTCCCAGAGTCTCCTGGGTCGAGAGCTGATGAGCTTTGGGAAAGTAACTGGTTCTTGAGGGTTCAAACCTCATCAAGTGGAAAAGACCATTGGTGAGTTCACTAGCTGAATGGGCATTTAGGAGGTGAAGACTAATTGGATAAAGCAGGTCACTGTGGCTTTAAAGTGTTTGTTTTGTCTCTGGCTCCTTCGTCTCTGGAGCATTCTATCTCTGCTTCCTAGCTGCTACGAGAAGCTTAGCTCTACCATGCCCTTCCACCATGATGTGCTGCCCTGCCTCAAGTCCAAGTTAATGAAACCAGCTGACCATGGGCTCTGAGACTGTGAGCCAAAATAACTTTTCCTTCCTCAGGTAATTTGGTCATAGTGAGGCAAGACTAACACAATCCTTGTGCTATCGATAAGGGCACCCAGGCTCAGAACTGTTGTTTCTTTTCTTAAAGCAAAGCTTCCCAGCATTGATACTGTTGACAGTAAGGTCAGAAAATTCTGCTCTGGGGCTGCCCTGTGCATTGCAGCATCCTCAGCCTTCACTCATAGATACAAGCAAATCCTCAAGTTGTGACAAAAAGCAGCTCTGGACATTGTTAAAAGTCCCACCACAAGGGCAAAATCACCACCATTTGAGAATCATTGGCTTAAAGCCACCCAGCTTGTCCACTTGAAGCTGGTGTTTGAGAAGTGTGAGGCGTAGCATGATGAGCCCAGCTTTGCCTGACAACACTTGAGTCTTTCACAATGACAAAAAAGCAAGAAAGACATCACTGGACGTGCTGAAAATAAAATTCTGCTAATGTAATCAAAGAAGTTACAGGAAGACCCAAGGAAGGAACTTTGGGTGCCTAGAGAGAACAGTCATTGGCCACCCCTTCAAGCTAATAATCCTTAATGTTTGATCATGAAATAGGGACAGAATCAGAAAGGAGTGTTTTTCAATTTTCCTTTGAAAGTGACATGTACTTCACTGTGCGACAACCTCATTTGCATACCCCAGCTATGTAAATATTCATCTGACAAGATGACTTGAACTTGCAACAAATCTCTTGTACGCCAGCAAGTCCTTAGAGACTGGTGCCCTCCAGTCATTGCTTTGCTAGGTCAGCTGCTAACCAGAAACTGATCCTGTAAAAAAGAAAGAGAAGGAGATGGATCTAAATAAATAATGTGGCTTCACACTGAGCTCTTTGATGAACACTGCTTGGGAAAGGACACACAGGAAGGATAGAAAAAAAAAACAGAAGCTACTCAGGGACAAATGTGAGCTTTACAAAGAGTGTGGAGGAAATACAATTTAGATGTAAAAGTGAGATCACTGTCAAGTGCCACAAAACTTTATCATGTACTCTTATACATCTCTAAGCCCTTCCAGCATAAAGTCAAGGTAACTTGCCATCAGGAAAGGCTCACAGAGTAGAAATTATATCCACTCTTATCCACTTACTGCCTGAATGACATTCCAGAATTTATGTATCCGGTTTTTAGCAACAGAGTCAATAATCTGTCCAAAAGAAATCCCGTAGATCAAAGAAGATAAATATAATGTGAAACCTGTAGGAGGTCCTATGTCATTCATCTCTTCCAACATTTCTGCCAATTCTGGGGATAAAGACACAAGTTTAGTAAGTTTGCACATGACACCCAATTGAGAGGGAGGGTCCAGTTCACTGGAGGAAAGAAAACACTTTGCAAGTATCTTGACAGGAACATAGCATAAAAATAATGAGATGAAACTTGAATCTTGCATTTAGACCAAGAAAGAAAGAAAGAAAACAGAAAGCACTTAACTAAAATCAAGCAATTAATTCTTGGAAATTCTTGGTGTCCAGAAAAAGATCTCAGGGATTGGATTCATGGAGAGTTTGGTATGTGTCTGGGTCGTGATGGGTCCCACATCAATTCCTAGGTCCTTGTGCACAGTGAACAAAGAACTGAACCTGGCACGTGATGGTAAGGAAACAACAGCAACAGTGCAACAGTGCAGTTGGAGTGAGAGGGCTCGTGCTGGTAACAAAGACAAAATGGAAATTTGCACTCTATACTGAGGAGCATTCGGGTTGAGACTGACCAGATTAGATGAAGCCCAAATACCCTGGAAACATGAAGATCTGTAGTGGGAGTAGGTTTCTTTTCTGAAAAGTGAGAAATGTGATTTTAAAGAGGGATGGCCTACTCCACTTGAGATCTGCGGGATGATTATACTCAGACTCCTTGATACCACATTGTGGATGGATTACAGATATGAATGTAGGAGAATGTCAGTGTATACTGCTCATCACATCACTGTAAGTTCTATCTTATTAGAATGTGTTCAGAGCAGTATTCATTTTCCTTTTAGAAAGTTAGTACTGAGCCCATTTTTATTAAATTTTTTCAAACTGACTGTGCCATGTTGTAACCCACAATAGTATAAAATTATAATGAAGTAGATCAATTCTATTATAAAAAAAAAGGCAATTACTGCTCTGCAAAAGGTAGAGAGGCCATGCTTAGAAATAAGTTGAGTGCTAATGTAGATTAACCACTGCTCTACTGACATTGCAGTGTGTTGGGAGGTAAAATTAAAGGTGGGCTTATATCTACATGAATTTAATATAGCCTGTAGCTCGTACTGGTCCCAGATCCTAATGTATGCCATACTACTTCATTATCCAAAGCAACTCTGATTAGAGATGTAGGTACCTACCAGTAGCCATTTTATCATTTCTATCATAATCCAAACTTTGAATAATATGATTCTACACTACTTTCTAGTGATGAGAAATCTTTACTCTAGGATTTTCCAAAACCTTCTAGAACTTTGGCAAAGCCTTACACAGCAGAAAATGACACATTTATTCATTCATTGAGAAAGTGGCATTCTGTGATAAGCATTACGTTGCTTGCTAGATATTTCTTCCCAAAAGTGATGAATTTTAAAAAATATATGTGGCTTCCAGACTAGAACATTTCATTACTGATGGAAAACTTGGGATTCTTTGATCACTTTGGCATGGTGACTGGCAAACCTCAAACAGTCATTATTCCACTTACCTGGCTCCGTCTGTGACCACAATGATCAGAAAACTCTCTTGACTCATAATGAATACATAGCATGAGAAAGAAAAAAATGCCTTTACTTTGTTAAAATATCAGGACTACAGGGATATTTGTTATGTTGCATGGCCTTGTCTTTCCTGACTGATACATAAAGATTGAATCTAAGAAGAGGCTTTGTTGCCCTACACTTGGGTGTTA